GTAGAGAATGGACTTGAGGACACGGGGAGGGGGGAAGGTAAGCTGGGATGAAGTGAGAGAGTAGCATGGACATATATACACTACCAAATGTAAAATAGATAACTAGTGGGAAGCAGCCGCATAGCACAGGGAGATCAGCTCGGTGCTTTGTAACCATAGGGAGGGTGGGAGGGAGACCTAAGAGGGAGGGGATATGGGGATATATGTATACATATAGCTGATTCACTTTGTTGTAGAGCAGAAACTAACACACCATTGTAAAGCAATTATACTCCAATAAAGATGTTAAAAAAGAAAAAAAAAAGGTGTCTAGAGACAACACCTCACCTAGTTATGATTATAATGGGCATTTGGACTGGAGAGGCCATAGAACAGACAATGTGTTTGTTCACCACTGTATTACCAGTACCTACAGTACAGAGTCTGGATGACCAAAAAGCAAGCAGATAGGAACCAGATAGATGAAAATACAGACCTTGCAGCCTTCCTTAGGGCATACTGTGTAGAGGACCCACCTCACAGGTTTATGTTGACAGACTAGGGCAATGGATGGGCTATGTGAGGGTTCCCAGTCCGTCCTCCGAGGGAGGAAGTGGTTACTCAGGACACGAGTTCTCCAGGGCCTGGCAGAGCATTTGGGCAGAAGTTATTAAGAAAACATTTGGAGGTGTTTATCTTCCCCTGTATTTGAAGATGAGCCTGGTAGCAAGTATCATCAGGGGTCTATAGAGGCAGTTCTGTCTTGACTTGCTTATTTAACAAATGACTTTGGTCCAATATAAGGTCTGTCACTACAGCTTCCACTGAATCTGTTAAGGCCTCGGATTATACTTGCTCTTTTATGTTGTGAAAGCATGTTTTTTGTTTGTTTGTTTGTTTTGCGGTACGTGGGCCTCTCACTGTTGTGGCCTCTCCCGTTGCGGAGCACAGGCTCTGGACGCGCAGGCTCAGCGGCCATGGTTCACGGGCCCAGCCGCTCCGCGGCATGTGGGATCTTCCCAGACCGGGGCACGAACCCGTGTCCCCTGCGTCGGCAGGCGGACTCCCAACCACGGCGCCACCAGGGAAGCCCTGAAAGCATGTTTTTAATGGCAGTTTGTCCCCGTCTGCTGTGCTCACAATCCCTCAATAGGACAGTGAAATAAATGAGCCAGAATATCATCAGAGAACCCAAACCCTTGTCTCCTGACTTCCCTTTTAGATCTTTCTAGAAAACAAGTGAGAGGAAGAAGGAGAATAAAAAGAGCCTGAGCCACATTTCTAGCCAGAAGCTAAGGTTGGATTGAGGGTCAGCAGTAACCACGTTTGTCTCTAAGGTCTGTGCATCTTCAGTGGAGGGCAAGATCATTTTAGTCAAACGTGTTATAGGTTAATTATTGTATGGTTTATCTTAAAGGGTTAGAAGAATACGTACTGTGACTTCATGGGTATTATCACTCAGGATGAGGTCAGAATAGTTCAGATGTTAAAAACGAGCTGACATTAGACGACAGTCGGTCAATAATGGAACAGCCGTGCACAGCCAGGCCAAGTTGGTAAGGAGGAGAGCTCACATTTATTGAGTTATTAAGTGTGGGGAACTGTTCTGAGTGTCTTGCATTATTTAATTCATTGAATCCTCCCAGCAGCTCAGTGAATTGGGCACTGCTGAGGCTTAGGGAGGTTAAACGTGGCCATTAAGTGGCCGAGCCAGGGTTTGAACCCAGGCAGTCCCACCCAAGAGTGAGCTCTAACCGCTGCACTCTGCTGCTTCTCAGAAGGGAAATAAAAGAAGAGCATAGACAACAAAAGCAAAGCTCCTTTTGCCCTTGCAACCTGAGACCCAACCCTGCACGTCAGTGCACCGAGGGAACCTGACTGGGCCTCTGTTTTCATGTCTCTAAAGTGGGATCAGGCATAGGCAGGGGCATCTTCCGAAGCGATGGGTGTTGGTCCAGATTTGCCCCGTGACCTTGAGCCAGCCTCTCCGCCTCTCCGGAGGTTTGGTGTCCATGAGCTCTCTCCCCAGTGTCACCCATGGCTCTGCTCCGAGGAATCCAGCCCTTGCCTGGTTTGAGGCAGAGCCCCTGGATGCCTGGTGGAGTCTGATGCTGGGCAGACTTCATGGCAGCATCAGGGCCCAAGGATGCCCACTTCCCCAGCCCCAGGTTGAGTGGAGCCTTGCCTGGCAGGCTGGGCTGTTGGGGCCAAATCCCAACAGCACTGGAATATCCCTGAGCAATTTGAGCAAGACGGTGACAAGATCAGATTGGATTTGAGAGGGTCCCTCTGGCCGCTGGGTGAGCAGATCGGAGGGCAGTCGGGGGGAATGGGAGCCAATAGGAAGCAAGTGTTACAGACATCCAGGCAAGAGATGGCTTGGACCACAAGGCTGTCATAGAGATGCCAGCAGAGTCGGGGAAGATTTGAAGGTGAATTTGGGAGCGGTTTAATATTCAAGCAGTGGCTGGCTGTGCGAAGATGCTCGGGTTTCCAGCTTGCTGCCTGGGAGGATGGAGACACCCTTTACCCGGCGGGAGGCTTGGCTGGGAATCCTTTCCGCCTTCACAGCACGTTCTAGGAAAGGCCTGCCGTATACCTGCTTTTCCTTGATAAGGAGGAGGAATGGTCCCGGGGCTTTTCCTTGATAAGGAGGAGGAATGGTCCTGGGGCACAGTTAACTGCTCCCTGCCTCACCATTCCTGGCCATCCTTCACATGCCTAATGGGCTCCTGCTGGGGCCTAATGTGGCCATTCCTCATGGAGGGAGAGCAGGGCTCGGCTCCCTGTCTGAGGACATGCACAGCTCTGGAGGGAGGGGAGCTGTAGCTCAGTGAGACTGTCCACGCCATCACTTTCTTGAGCATGGTTCTGAGCTCCCTCAGCAGCTGCAGCGTTCCTGACCTCTGGGCCAGGGGACAGCTCCTTAGAGGAGGGAACTGGTGGCCCCAGCAGGAGGGGAGGCTCTCGCATGCCTTTGTACACCTCCATGGTATATGGCTTGTTGCAGAGTACTTGTTTGCTCTCGTAGTTTGAAAGAAAAGAACAAAGTAAATCTTGAAAAAGAGGAAGAAAGAGGAGTGGCCAGAAGGGTGTGCAGTTGGATGGCAGAGCGGGTTGTGGCGCAGCTTGGATCAGGGCTGTGCCTCTGCAGACAAGTGCACAGCTCCAAGCCCTCACCACTCTCACACACACACACTCGCACTGTCACACACACACTCACACTCTCACACACTCGTACTCACACACACACACTCACACACACACACACACACACACACACTCACACACACACACATGCAGCAAGAGCCCAGGCAGGAACAGGCTGCTGATCTTTCTAGCCTCTTCGCCAGTGTGTGGACCAGGGGACGCCCGTCCTGCTCCAGGCGGACCCTTGTTTCCTGGGCTCCAGGTGTTCTGGAGAGAGGTGTCCATGGTCTGGCTCCTATCATAGTCAGGAAGGAGCTCCAAGAAGGGCCTCTACTTGCACTGCAGCCCAAGACTCAGTTTCTCCTCTCCTGATGTACCCACCCCGGCCATGCTTCCCCCTGCCTGGACCAGACCTGAGGCAAGGGCCCTGCACCTGCCCGCCAAAGGCCTGGGCTAGAGTTGGCAGGGCCACTCCAGAGGATGGAGGCTCCCTCCCTGCCGCCCCTCCTCCGTCTGTCCATCCATCCATCCATCCATCCATCCATCCATCCATCATTCCCAGAGGGCAGGAATCAGTATTTGATAAGAATTTAATAAGATAAGATGCCTGGATTTTTAGCATGAAGAGAAGTTTTGTGAGAAGTTGTCTGGGACCACATTGCCAAAGGCAGGAGGGAGCCATTGAAGTTCTTGAGTAAGAAGGGGATGTGGCCCAATTTCTGTTGCAGAACAATCACTGTGCTGTGTGGAGAGGGAGGCTGGGAGCAAGGAGCAGAGCAAGGAGGCTGTTGTGATGGGGCCAGAGCATCCTCTGTGAGGAAGGTTTAGAAGGCAGAGAAAGGAGGGTTCCTGTGCTCTAGGTCGGCTTATGTCCCATGCCAGGCTCTTTGCTGCCTCGGTGCCTTTACACGTGCTGCTTCCTGCCTGGAACACTTCCCCTCCTATCGCAAGGCTCCTTCTCCTCCTTCTGGTCTCAGCCTCAGAGGTGCCTTTCCTGACCTATCTCAACAGCCCCCCTCCTGTTACTCTCTATGAGAGCACATCCTTCTCCTTCACGTGTCACAGTGTATGATCATATATTAGCTTTTCCCTTTTTGAGGACAGGGACCATATCTGCTTTATTCACCGGTGTTTTACCCACTGCCTAGCTGTGTGCCGGGCATAAAGCGGGCAATCAATGAATACTTACTGAATGAATGTATTATTTAATCAGTTAATGACATTGGCTACACAATAGTCATAGTTATGTAGATATGAGATTATCACACCTGAATAAGCTTTCTACATACTGATCCTCACAGCATCTGCCAAGAAAATGAGAATAGGAATCATTACTCCAGCGTAGCCTAGGTGGAAACGGATACCCTGAGCTGTGTCTTGTCCATGATCTGGCTGGCAGCAGGGCTCGGGCGAGGGGCTCGAATGCACATCCCGGACTCTGTCTGCCACATCATTGCATCCCTTCTTCAGGCCCAGAGGACACGGCCACCTTGAGGACTGACCCTGCCGCCCAACCAGGCCAGTCCAGACTGCCAGACTGATCAGAATGAACATCTCTTGCCCTCATAGTAATTATTTGTACCTTCCTTCAGCATCACAGCCTACCTCGTGTCTAAGGGAGACAAGTCTGTCTTGAACAGCATGTGTAAAGGTACTGAGGCAGCAAAGAGCTTGGAATGTTCAAGGAACTAGTAGGAGAACAGACTGGCTGGAGTGAGGGCAGGAAGGAGGTTCTTATTCACTTCTGGGTCCTCATGGAAGCACAGAGCACTCATTAACGGCTCATGACATTAGTAGGGCCCCTGGCCTGTTCGCTTTCCCTTTGTTGGACAGGGAGCTCTAACCCTCTCTCTCCTCTGCTCTGACCCCAGCGCCTACACAGAGCCCTATAAGGTCTGTCCCATCTCGGCAGTGGCCCCCAAGGAGGACCTCACGTCGGATGAAGAGCGGGGAAGCTCGGAGGAGGAGGACAGTGCTCCAAGAGACCCCAGCCTCACCCACAAGGTAGGGCTCCCCACCCCAGGCCGGGGGCCGGTGGGAGGTGGGCGTCAGAGATGTGAAAGTGGAGAGAGGGTCCACTCCTTCCCTTCTCCGTGCGGAGGGAGCTGTTTTCAAACAGCTGACGCCAAGGTGGATGCAGAGGCTGAGTCACAGGGCGGCTGGGGCTGCGGCCTGAAGGCACGTGGCAGACACGGGGGCGCTGATGCTGCGGGGGTGACTGCTGACATCCTCCTGGGTCCCAGGAAGCCTGGGGATGAAGCGGAATAGAGCCGCCTGATTTGAATCCAAACAGGGCTGGATTCCAATGACCTTGGTCCCCTGGGCAGCCTCAGTTACCTCGTCTGTGAAGTGGGAATTGTGAGGGTAAGATGAGTTAAAAGGGTTATGAGCAAGTTTCGTGAAGTGAAAACTTCAGAATGAGAGCTGGTGTCCCCGTTCCCTGCAGTGATGCTGAGGGGGCGGGGCTCAGAGAAGGGCTGTTACTTCTCTGGAGGCAGATGGCGAGTTGCGGCCCAAGTCACAGTGGAGGCCCAGACCTTCGCACTGGGTGTCGGGCATTGGGTGTGACGTGGTTACCTCTGCTCGGCCGATCTCGTCCTTCCCTACCCCTTCCAGGAGGCACGGGCTGTCTCCCGTGTTTCCCGTTTGCAGAAACTGTCAGAGCGGAAGAACTTGCCCAGTGCCACATGGCTGTTACTAGTGTCACCCAGGAGACAACACAAGGTGCTGGGGGCCAGGAATTCAGACCAGGAGGACACCCCAGCTGCACGGAAGGTTGAGGCCAGCCTGAAGTTCTCCCCCTCCCCCATCTCGCGGGCCCGCTCCCGTCTGCCATCTGCCAGGGAGGGGCCGGGGTGGCAGAGGAAGTGCCCTTGGGCCCCTGTTCCTGGCTGTCTCCCACTCTGGGCATCTTCCCCTCCCAGCTTAGGTGAGGTGGGCCCCTCTGATTACAGACTCTTCCTGTGGGAGCACTTGGTACAGGTGCCTGGCCCCTACCAAGCATTTTATAAATGGGCGTGTCTTTGATTTCGTTTCGTACACTCGATTTCTTTTAAAAATTCACTCTCCTGTCTGCCCATATACACAGTGCTGTGGGAGCGGTGAAGGGGGCTTTCCCACCGGCTCGTCTGCACCCGCTTCCCCTTCCCTCTCTAGATGGCGAGCTGTCTGCTGGGCACTCCCAGCTTCCTCGTCTGCTCTTTCACTCCTTACAAACACTTTGAAGCCGGTACCGTTGTCTTGTTTTGCAGTCGAGGACACAGAGGTTCAGAGAGGTTAAGTAACTTGCCCAAGGCCACACTGCTAGTGGTTGAAGGGGTTGGACTTGAAAACGGGTCTGACTCCAAACCCAGTCTTGTTTGTTTGTTTTTCCACTGCAGTCCCGGTAGCCTCCTCTTATCTCTCCACTTCCTCCCCTCACCCAAGAAGAAGCTATTGGCTCCTGGAGTGGGGAGAGGGTGACAAGGGAGGCAAGCTTTCAGTGAGTGGTGCCCATTTAGAGATGATTTTGGCTTTTCTGGGCATCCCTGGGGTCATGGAGCCTGGGAGCAGAAAGACGTAGCTGTCATCGGGGATTTGGTCCTTTCTCTGAAGCTGGGAGCTGGGGCTGGATCCCAGGCCCAGAAGAGTTGAAGGGCTGAGAGGGCAGTGGGGCCCATGTGCAACTTTCTGTACCTCGTGATGATTTCCGACCAGTCACTGATTTCTCTGTTAAACCTTCCTCTGGGACCACCTGCATCTCCCCCTCCAGCTGTGTTACCACTGGCTGGTCACTTTCCATCCTGAGAAGGACGGTCCTGTCATCCTGAGAGCACAGAGGGAGAAGTGTGGGTCCAGACTCCTCACGGCAGGTCAGTCCAGTCTCGGGAGCCCAGCCTCTTCAGCTGCCGAGCAGACTGACTGCCACCCCCGACCCCCCACCATGCTCTCTTCCTCCTTATGAGGCCTTCATGACGTAGCAGAGGTAAAATGGCCTTTAGCAATCAGGTTCTCTTTGCCCGAGGCGTGCTGTGCTAGATGGTCCTCATCATGTATGAAGTCATCACGGGGCAGGGTTCCGTGCCCTGGGACACTCATTCCTGGTCCTTGTGCCCTTATGGACGTAACCGGTATGCAGTTTGGTGTGTATCCTTCTAGAACTTTTTCCCTGTATTCACCTACATATATCATCATTATGCGTGGAAAATGGATGGTATTGTTTGTGGAGTTCTGATTTTTTTTTTTTCCGTAAACCACATCAAACTATAAGAAACGGGGGTGGAGGGGTAACTCGGCCGGGTTCATTCACTAGTATCTTAGAGATCTTCCCACATCGGTACAGGGAGCTCTAACTTAATATTTTCCTGCCCTATAGTATTCCAGTGTCTGGATGTGCTGTCATTTACTTTGCCCTCCCCCTGCTGAGGGACATTTACAATGTTTCTTTTTTCTGCTCAGTGGACAGCACTGCAGGGCACCTGTTCATACCCCTCCTTACATACACGTTTTTGCAGAGGGTGGATCCCAGGAGGGGATCCGAGAACACTTGCAGTTTCAATCAGTCTTCATACCTGCTGCTAAATCCCCTGCCCCAGTCTGTTACAGATACTCCCTGGCAGCCCTCAGGGTGGAAGGGCTCCCAGATCGCTGGGAGCTTTCCGGACTGAGCAATCTTTCCTGGCTCCTTTCTGCTGCAGACGGTTTGGTGGGGCAGGGGTGGGGAGGAGGGACATTTGCTTCTTATTCTTTTGCCTTCCATTCTCTCCGAAAATTCTGTTTCTCAAAAGGCAGACCTCGCCTCCATCTTGTCCTGGGGGAAGTGGGACCCAGATTACCATCTCCAACCGTCTCAAAGGGGCAGACCTGGACCAAGTGTGCGTGATCACAGAATTGCCTCCCCGGGGCCTTGGGAGGCGTGTTTGGGGGTGTAGTGGTGAGCCCCACCCTTCTTACAGTGTGATATGGTTTATGTAACAATAAATTAAAAGTGCTGAGTCCCACCCTTCCCAGATGTTTTGGGGTGACCGAGTCAGGAGGGGAGAGGATTTTGGAGCAGGACAGGATGCTGGGCCCAGCTGGTCCACCCACCTGTCTGACCTCTCTCTCTCCCACTCGCAGACGTACAAAGGGTGTGGGTTGAAGGAAAGAGGGGGCAAAAAAGGAGAATCAAGAGGGACCTAAAAATAGATCTAGCAATGAAAGGAGACATTCAAAGGCGGGCTGGCAAGTTGCCCCTCCCTGACAATGCGCCCGGTTTTCAGGCTGATGGCGACTTTTCAGGCGAGATACCAGCTCCCCTGAGACCAGCCCAGGAGTTGGCAGCCCCTCCTGGCTACCTCCTCCCTGGCCGGGCTCCCGCTGTCACCATGGACGTTGTTTCCTGGCCGGGTCCACCCCTGAGCCCAGCCCTGTCCCCTGGAGCAGACCCATCCTGCCTTCACGCCCTCCCTGGTCCCCGCCCACTCAGGACGCACCCCGCCCACCCTGGCTGCACCCAAGGTCCTGGCGGCCTGGCCCGGGCCTCCTTGCTGACCTCGTGACCCTAGCCTTGCACCTGTGGCCTTGCCTGACCATCTGCCTGGGTTAAAGGATCTGCGTGGGGAATTCCCTGGCGGTCCGCTCGTTAGGACTCTGTGCTTTCACCGCCGAGGGTGAAAGTTCGGTCCCTGGTCAGGGAACTGAGATTCCACCAGCTGTGTGGCACAGCCAAAAACCAAACCAAACCAAAAACGAGGATCCACTTGAACCCTGGTCATTTCCACTGGGCGAGTCTCCAGCCTGTGTTAAATGTCACACTGTGCCTTCTCCATGCTGGAGACCCTGAACCCCTGTTCCGGCTGTGCGTTGGCTCCACTGCAGACACGCGCTCCTCTGGGCCCCGGGGAGGCCATTCCAAACCTGCTGCAGCTTCCTCTCCTGCAGCCTGTTCTCCTTCCCAGAAAACACTCTCCTGTCGATGTGAACTCCCCCCCATCTGCACCTCTTCTCTCTGTGTCCTCACCCAGTTTCACCCGTCCCTCCTCTTCTTCAACAGAATTTTATTTATTTACTGAGTACTTACTGAGCACCTACTATGTGCCAGGCACCCTTCTAAGGGCTGAAGATACAGCAGCCACAAGTCAAGACTCTGCTAGAGTCTACATTCTAGAAGGGGATGAACAATCATCCAGAAAACTCCCAAGGTGGGTTTAGGTGGTGAAAGTGCTATAAACAACGAACAAACAAAGCAGACCAAGGTGGCGGAGGACAGAGCACTGGGGGTGAGGAGAGGGAGGAAACTTAGACAGGGAGGCTGGAGAAGGCTGGGGGTTTTTTTTTTTTCCATTTTTAAAAATTTTGTGAAAATACACATAACATAAAATCTTCCATCTTGACCTTTTTTTTTTGGCGATACGCAGGCCTCTCACTGTTGTGGCCTCTTCTGTTGCGGAGCCAGGCTCTGGACACGCAGGCTCAGCAGCCATGGCTCACGGGCCCAGCCGCTCCGCGGCATGTGGGATCTTCCTGGACCGGGGCACGAACCCGTGTCCCCTGTATTGGCAGGCGGACTCTCAACCACTGCGCCACCAGGGAAGCCCCATCTTGACCATTTTTAAGTATGTGGCCTTAAGAACATTCATTGGCCTTAAGAACATTCACGTTGGGACTTCCCTGGTAGCGCAGTGGTTAAGAATCTGCCTGCCGATGCAGGGGATGTGGGTTCGATCCCTGGTCCAGGAAGATCTCACATGCCATGGAGCAACTAAGCCCATGTCCCACAAGTACTGAGCCCGCGTGCCACAACTGCTGAAGCCCTTGCGCCTAGAGCCCGTGCTCCGCAACAAGAGAAGCCACCACAATGAGAAGCCCGCACGCTACAAAGGAGAGTAGCCCCCGCTCGCCGCAACTAGAGAAAGCCCGCGCGCAGCAACGAAGACCCAACAGATCCAAATAAATAAATAAATAAATTGAAAAAAATGAGAGAGAGAACAGTAAACTTACATTAAAAAAAAGAAAAACAGGGCTTCCCTGGTGGCGCAGTGGTT